GGTACGATTTTTGGTAGCATCACCCAAAATTATAGACTAATCAACCGTTTTGTTTCTGTCTGTGAACAGCATGTACTTCCAAAATGTTATACTAATAAAAAATTCTAGATTAAACATTTCAATAACCCTAGCAATAAAAAAAATTCACAAGAGGATGGCTACACACACCTTAACCAATTTGAGGCAAATGATGCAACTAAATTAGAAATCGATCTCAACAGGTTGCCTGGTTATGTCAAATAAAAATTGCTAAAACAAAGTGAGAAAAAAGCCCAAAGGAAGCTAAAATAAGTCATAAAGCCTGGTCATATCTTACTAGGTCATCAGTGGAGCAGTTCCCAATTGACTTGGGAATGTTGCCTAGCGATGTCTTCAATTGTTCAATACTTGCAGGAATGCTGCCTAAAAATGAGTTTCTTGACATATTCAATAACCGCAACCCGCTAAAGTCCCCAGCAGCAGATGGAATTTTACCAAATAACTTATTCTGGAACTCTGGAAGACAACCAAAATCACAAGCTTTCTACGAGAATTCTTGGTCGATGAAACAAGAACACTGTCCACGCTCCCATTTAATCTATTATCTGAAAGCAGAACTTGCTGTAAGCCCAGTTTCAACACCCAAGAAGGAAGATACCCAGTCAAGGAATCCAAAACCAGAAGGTTTAGGCAATTGCTCATGGAATGGGGCATGACTCCAGTAAAGCCATTCTTGGATACATTTAGAACCTTCAATGATTGAAGCTTTCCTATAGTTTTTTCCAAACCATTCAGGCAGCTCCCCGGTGAATCCATGTTTATGCGAAACCAGGTCATTACACAAGGCAAGCTTCTGCATTGTGCTTCGAAGCCAAGCATAAAAAGAAAATTTTCACTCAAATCAACAGACATTAACAATGAACAATCTCCAATTCCATCAGGAAGACCACCAGAAAATTGATCATTTGAATCTTCCACGCACTATGCCACTCAAATTGCTCAAGCCATCAATGCCCTTTGGAATCTCACCCACCAACAAATTATCAGACAAATCAAGCTACCTAACCCCAGAAAAGTATAAATAAAAGCCCAAACCCGTAAAGAAATCAAATAGCCGCATTTAGCAAGAAAACACCCAAAAAGAACAGCTAATCTTTCTCAACCCGAACAGTCGAGAAAAACCCAGAAAGAAAAGAAAAATGGCGGATAGAGAAAGGGTTTTAAAGAGAATCGTTGCTTTAGACTTCAAGTGAATAGGAAGAAAGATCGAAAAGGAGTTTTCAATCTGCAATCGAAAATGTGAGCTCAAGAGTGAAAAACTTCACTTGAAAAGGAGTTTTTGATCTACTTACGTTTATGTGTTGAGAGCGAGCATCATAAACGGCAAAATAAATGAAAAAAAAAATTATATATATATATACAGAAATGATCTAATGAGCACCGGTGCTCATTTTATCGTAAGCACCGATGAGTTGGCACATTAATTCATTGGTGGATAAAGATTTTGTGAGTT